AGACCACATGGACAAGCAGTCACTGCTAACACAGATCAGCTCGTTCCCCTATCTAACAGGAGGAACACAGACGGGAGAAGCGATTAAATTCATTAATCAAACCTACTTCACCGAGGAGGCCGGGAGCCGAGCCAACCAGCGGGTGCCTCAGATCGCCGTGGTCATCACAGACGGTGAATCCACAGATGATGTAATCGAGCCTGCTAAGAGTCTACGGGAGAAAGGCGTTATGGTGTTCGCTATCGGTGTCGGACAGGCTAACATCAAGGAGCTCCAGTCCATGGCCAACAAGCCTTCAGAGCACTTTGTGTTCCACCTAGATAACTACCAGGCTCTGCTGGCCAAGAAGGACGAGCTGTTGCAGACCGTCTGCGTCTCCATGGAGGATCAGAGACAAGGTAAGAAGAAGAAGAACTCCTTTCTTTGAAGGATAAAGATAGTTCTGCTCTTACTTCAGTCCAAATGAGGATTGGTGTTTTACAGCCTGGTTCTGTGGGGAAGTGGCAATAATCACAAATCAGCGAACATAACCTTGGGCTGTGTCTGAGACTGCGCCCTACACCCTACGTAGAGCTCTATATAAGGGGCACGCCATTTTGTAGTTGCGTCTGAGTGTGTAGTGGTTGGTATCAGCCATTACTGCGGATCCTTCAATTCAGACTTTAAATAAAACGTGATAAAATAAAACATCTTTTAGACTTTATTCTGTGAGTATCCAAGTCTGAATCACCTGTTGCTTCGTAACAGATTATTATTATTTGAACGATAAAGTGACTGGATTATCTTAGAATGAAGTATATCAGTGTGTATCACTGTGGCCCGCTACCAAATGACCTACGGATCGGTACCGGTCCCTGTATCTGGGGTTGGAGACCGCTGATATAAGGCACTCGATGTATCCCACAATGAACTGCAAAATGTAGTGAACATTCAGTGGACACTAGCCAAGCATAGTATCCCATCAGACATTGCGGAGAGAGGAGCAGAATCTGTCCAACCGTCTGAATTGAAATGACATAAATAACTGCACATCGTAGTAGTGTCTGAAAGAGTTTGTCAGTCGTTCGGTCTATATAGTTCCCTGTATTGGGTGAAGGGAACGAGTGAGTGATTTCAGACACAGCCTAAACATCCACAGATCTAAGCCAAAGATGAAGGATGTTAATCTTCCATTAGCTTCAGCCTGTTACATCTTTATCTTTCTGTGAGACCGAGTCAATAAACAGCACACTGAGATTTGCAAACCACCCACCTGATGTAGCAATCAGTGGATTTAGCTCACAGACCAGAGATAAAACCAGTTTAAAACCAGCGACACAGACCCTGCTGGTCCACTGCTGCCTCCTGTGTTTAGTTTGTGTCCCCGAGCCAAATATAAACACATTCATGTTACTAGATAATGCATGGCTGTAACACTAACATCTGCATGACGGGTTTTTTTCAGTAAACTCTGGTGTAGGATAAAGAGTTATTTACACGGTGGTCTGCAGTTGTTGAAGTCGGTCTGACAATGATATGAAATTAATGTGAAGTTCATGTTCTGAAGCCCGACGATGTTTTTCTGTAGATTTTTCAAAATCCTGGCTCACATGTATCTAAATGGTTTTTGTTTTCAGTGTTGATTTATGAGAGAATGAATGTCAGTGAGTGGATTTGAGGGACTTCTCTGGTTGTAGTAAAGTCGGCCAGTAGTAACAAATCTCAAGCCAGAAGATACAGGATTAGTCAGATAGCTGAACTCCCAACTCTGTTCTCACACTACAAGTGGGAATTTTCCACAGAACTGTTCCTTGGATAGCAAACATCTGCCCTGCTCCATGTCTTTAATCCAGATGCTGAGTCAGGCGATGGACGTGAATCAGAACAGAGTTGGGATTTAATGACTTCTGTGGAAGTGGAGTCAACTGGTCGTTTAATGACATGTGCTGACACGTGTCCTACCAATGAGCACGTAACTCTCCGCGAGTTACTGTCGTAGCTTTTGCCAATAAAGATAACACAGCCGTCAGTTGTTGTTTTTAGACTTTTTTCCTGATGGTTTTATCTCCAGGACGTTCTGTGCTGGAAGCCTCTGTTCAATCACTCCACTGCCACACACGTGTTCTTATGTAGGTTATCCATCTACGTTAGCGTCCATTTAGTGATTATGATGAACTGTGTTAGCGTGATGCTCTATGTTTGTTTTTGTTTGTTTGTTTTTTTTTAATCAGGTTCTGCTAACAAAACTTACCACCGTTTTACAAACATGTTTTTTTTTTCTTAATCTTGAATTATTTTCTGTCTTAGTGAACCCGTGTGTGTGTCTTTGGTTACCTTTGAACACTGTTTGATGTGTTTGCTTTTGTTACAAACAAACATATTCTTTTTGTTTGTCCTTCCAGCGTTGGCTGAAAAATTTTCGGACATTTTCTTCCTGTTGGACGGCGGCTTAAGTTCCACAGAGTTCGGGCAAGTCCGGAACATCCTGGTTCGACTGTCCAACCAGCTGAAGGTGGGGGCGTCTGCCCATCGCTTGGGCCTAGCCTTCTACGGACAAGACACCAGGGTGGAGTTCTTTCTCAACAGCTACCAGACCAAAGAAGACATACAGAGTAAAATCAAGAAGGTCCGCATCGGTCAACTGCAACCCAACGAAAAGCGCAACCTAGGGAATGCCCTGGAACAAGCAAGGACTCGCTTCTTAATCAAAGAGGCTGGGAGTCGTGCAGACCAAGGGTACCAACAGTACCTGGTCGTGTTTAGTGGACAAGATTCTAATGATGACGTGGACAGGTTTTCACACCTTATTAAATCTGAAGGAGTGACGGTGGCGGGCGTATCTCTGGGTGTGTCCTCTAGTCAAATGAAAGACATTTCCACACCGGGCTATTATTTTCAATCCAACACCAACTTAGTGCCGTCGCTGAAGTCTGTGTTTGAGGGACAGGAACAAGCATTTTCTCAGACTCAAGGTAAGGAGCTTCTTGTTTTTTATTGTCTTACTTTATCTCATCCAGCTGAATCACCCTGATCCCAATCTTTCATATTTCCAGATTGTAGAGCGGCCTTCCTAGCCGACATCGTCTTCATCGTTGACGAGTCCGGAAGCATCGGAACTAAAAATTTCCAGCTGGTGCGTACATTCCTACACACTGTGATTAGCGGCATTGAGGTCGGTTCGAACAGAGTGCGGCTTGGAATTGTAACGTACAGCGCTAAGGCCACAGCACATGTCTACCTCGACAGCTTCGATAACAAGAAGGATCTGTTAAACTTTGTTAAAATCCTGCCTTATCGCAAGGGAGGAACCCAAACAGGAGCCGCCCTGAATTTCACCAGGGAAAATGTTTTTGTTAAAAATAGAGGAAGCAGGAAAGACTAAGGTTTTCAGCAGGTGGCAGTAGTTATCACTGATGGCAAATCCGATGATGACGTGAGCCGAGCAGCAGCAGAACTTCGTAGAACCGGCGTCACCATTTACTCTGTTGGAATTAAAAACGCTACCAAGGAAGAGCTGGTGAAAATAGTCTCGCATCCTCCAAATAAACACATTTTTATGGTGAACGACTTCACCAAACTCAGGTCTGTAGAGCAGACTCTTCAAAAGATTCTCTGTCAGGACATCGTGCACCAGGCTATTACCGTCCAGACCAGAAGAACTAACATCAAAGAAGGTTTGGACCATTGTCGTCATAATCTCTGCACAGATTTACAGATGTGGACTCTAATTATTGACGTATAAAAATGTTTTTTTCATTTTCCCAGAATGCTTGCAAACAGATGAAGCTGATATTTTCTTCCTCATCGACCAATCGGGGAGTATCCACCCTCCAGATTTCTACGATATGAAGAAGTTCATCTTTGAGTTTCTCAACAATTTCCGTATTGGGCCACAGCATATCCGTGTGGGTATTGTGAAATATGCAGACGACCCTGTCCTGGAGTTTGACCTGACGACCTATTCTGATGTCAAGACAATGAAGAAAGCCGTGGAGGACATGCTCCAGGTGGGAGGAGGCACCGAGACTGGAAAAGCAATTACTTTTATGGGCCCACAGTTTGACAGAGCAGAGGTAACACGTGGCTACAAAGTCTCAGAGTACCTGGTCGTCATCACTGATGGACAGTCAACCGACGATGTCAAGGTTCCTGCCAAAAAACTCCAGTCCCAGGGTGTCACGGTTTACGCCATCGGGGTGCAAAACGCAGACCAGGAACAGTTGAGAGAAATTGCGGGCGACCCCAAAAGAACATTCTTTGTGAATGACTTTGACGCCTTAAATCCCATCAAGGATAACATCATCACAGATATCTGTTCTACAGATGGTGAGGAGCGTCTTTCATGCACAATACAACGAGATAAAGAACCTGAGGTAAGAAGTTGATGTTGACCTGTCTGTGCTTCTCTGTCTGCAGCCTGTAAAGACATACCAGGAGACCTGGTCTTTTTGATTGACAGCTCAGGAAGCATTGACTCATTAGACTACGAGAAAATGAAGGAGTTCATGAAAACCATCATCAGTAGGTCCGCCATTGGGATCGACGACGTGCACATTGGTGTCATGCAGTACAGCACCAAGCCGAGGCTGGAGTTCTCTCTCAGCTTCACTTACAACAAAGATGAGATGAACACGGCCGTTGACAAAATGCAGCAAATCGGAGGAGGTACGCACACCGGCCAGGCCATCACTGCCGTGTCTCAGCTCTTTGACGGAGGGCGTTCCAAACTGAGGCAGAGGTTGGTGGTGATCACAGACGGGGAGTCCCAAGACGCCGTCGCAGCCCCGGCTGAAGCTCTGAGAGCCAAGGGTGTGGCCATCTATGCCATTGGAGTTGTGAACGCCAACACGACTCAGCTGCTGGAGATCAGCGGCTCCTCCGACAAGATGTATTCTGGGAGAGACTTTGATGCTTTAAAGGACCTGGAGAACCAAATTTCTTTGGACCTGTGTGCAAAAGAGGGAGGTGAGCCTTTGGCCACAGGACAGTTGTGGTTTGTTTTCATTAAAAATATTTCTTATAATATAATATTCTTATATATAATATTCTTATAATATTTCTAAGATTCTTCTAAGTGATCGTGTGCATGTCATCTTTACTTTCTTTCAGAGTGTAGGAAGACACAGCAGGCTGACGTCATTTTCCTGGTGGACGGTTCCACCAGCATCAGCCTTCCCAAGTTCAGGAGCATGCAGAAGTTTATGTCGGCCATGGTCAACCAAACCACGGTGGGTAAAGACCTGACCCGCTTCGGTGTCATCCTCTACTCCACCTACCCCAAAAATAACTTCACCCTGGAGACGTACGGCTCCAAAAAAGAGGTGCTTCAAGCCATTCAAGACCTAACGCCGCCAAGAGGAGACACCTACACCGGCCTGGCCCTGGAGTACTCCTTAGACTTCTTCAGTGCTGCCAATGGAGGTCGGGCTGCTCTCAAGGTGCCTCAGGTTCTCATGGTGATCACAGACGGTGAAGCCACTGACCCTCACCATCTCGAAAAGCCTTCGATGGCACTGAGAAACAACGGGATCAGCGTCTTCAGCATTGGTGTGGAAGAAGCCAACAAGGAAGAGCTGGAGATCATGGCAGGTCACGACGCTTCCAAAATTTTCTACGTGGACAATTTTGATGCTCTGGAAACTCTGTACAAGAACCTTTCTCTGGTTCTCTGCAACTCCACCAAACCAGGTAACAAACAGCCCCCGGGTCTAGATGAAAGCTAACTGAACGACCCACACCTTTTACCAGAGTCTCCACATTTAAGACTAAAAACGATTCCCTGTAGTTCCACACAGCAGCACAGAGAACGGCTCTTTAATTATTAATAGACTTTAAATATTCCCACGTTAACGTTCATTGATGGCTGGTGTATTTTCTTGTTCTCAGTTTGTGAGAAGCAGAAGGCCGACCTGGTCTTCCTCCTGGATCAGTCTGGAAGCATCACGACCAACGATTACACCATCATGAAGAAATTCACCACTGACCTGATCAAGAGCTTCAAAGTCGGTGAAGATCTGGTCCGTGTGGGCCTGGCCCAGTTCAGCGACACTTTCCAACACGAGTTCTACCTCGACAAATTCTACAGCGAGCAGGAAGTCACCAAACATATTATGGGCACTGTGCAAACGGGAGGAGGAACCAAAATAGGGAAAGCACTGGATTCCATCAGGGATTATTTTCAGGCGTCACGCGGCGGCCGCAGATCTTCAGGGATTTCTCAGAATCTGGTACTGATCACTGACGGAGATTCACAGGACGAAGTTCTAGCGGCTGCCGAGCGTCTCAGAGCCCTGAAAGTCGAGGTGTTTGTCATCGGCATCGGACACGTTCAGGTCATGGAGCTCCTGCAGATCACTGGCACCCCAGACAGACTGTTCACTGTGCAGAACTTTGGCAGCTTGGAAAAGATCAAGGACAAGGTGGTGGATACCATCTGCAAGTCCAAACCCATAGAAAATCCAAGTGGTGAGGAAACAAACTGGATGCGTTTCTGTGTTTGGTTTGTCCTTGTCTTTCCACTGCCTCATGAAGCTGGAGGGTTTTTGTTTTTCTTACAGGCTGCACCATCGATGTTGCCATGGGCTTTGATATCTCTCGACGAAGCGGAACGCCTGGTGAGATGTTGGTCAGCGGCCACACCAAGCTCCAGGCCCTCCTTCCAGAGATCGGACATTACGCTTCCTCGGTATCAGAGCTGTGCTGCTCCAAACCCGACCTCATCAGGACCAACGTGGGCTACAGAGTGGTGGGCCGGAACGGACAACAAATCGATGACTTCAAATTTGAGGCCTACAGTGAGGAGGTGCTGAGGAAGGTCATGACCCTTAATCTGAAGGAACCCACTTACTTCAACTCCGCTCTGCTCAAGTCCTTTGGTCAGAAGTTCAAAGCCGAGTCCGGGGCTGGTGTGAAGGTGGGTCTGGAACACTTCAGATTCTTCAGATTCTCTGTCTAATCACCGTCATTCCAGATTTTGTTTTCCCTTCAGCGTGATGAGAAACTCATTTCCTTAGATTTATGTTTTTCATCTCCCCGTGTCCACTCACAGAGAGACGGGGGAGGGGCCCTGAGAGGAACGTGGAAGACGAGAAACCATTTCAGTGATTCAGTGTAAAACAAAAGCAGAAGAAAGCCGACAAAAAGTCGACAGGTTTCTGCTGCGTTCACATGGCCGCAGGGCGGTGGGAATTGTTCCACTGAGACTTTCTATTTTTAAAAGGCATAGTTTCTTTCTTCAGACCTTTTTCTTGAGAACCACCCCCGTGGATGTAACTGTGTTTTTGTTTCAGCCTGGATGGAAACCAGTGTCACCTAGAGTTGAATGGTTTTAATGCAGTGAATGTTAATGTTTGCTGTTGAGTAAACTCTGAAACCAGAGTCTTTAGGGAGGAGGATCTGCTGCTCAATTAATCACCCACACCCCCCCGCCCCCCACCCC